CTTTCCTTTTGGTGACATGCAAACCCTCCCCACATCCTGATGACATCTCCCCCTTAATGGCATACGAAACTTACAACCCCCTTCATTTAAAAGAAGTTTAAAAATATTAAATGTGTATAAATTTTGCGACCTTCAGTATTAGCTAATCCATGGCCCTTATCTATCTCTCTCTCTCCCCCCCCCCATTCAATAGCTAATTCAGCCCTCAATCACGTGGATTTAACGGTTCTGTCAATATTCCAGTTAGCTGTGACTTTCAATTACAATTTGAGCCATTAAACATAACTTTTTAGCCTTTCTTCTTTTATAGACTAACAAATCCGTAAGTTTAAAGATTGTTTAATTATAGACCAAAACGCATAGGACTTAAAATTGAAGAAACCGAACGGGTCTCACTCTAGTTAGTTCGGGGTGCAATATGTTATCTGTCTATCTGTCCATCTGTCTATCTGTCTATCTGTCTATCTGTCTATCTGTCTATCTGTCTATCTGTCTGTATCTGTCTATCTGTCTATCTGTCTTTCTGTCTATCTGTCTATCTGTCTATCTGTCTTTCTGTCTTTCTGCCTGTATCTGTCTATCTGTATATCTGTCTATCCGTCTATCTGTCTATCTATCTGTCTATCTGTCTATCTGTCTATCTGTCTATCTATCTATCTGTCTGTCTGTTCTTGTATACAGTACGGATAATCCTCAGATTGTAGATAAGATACCAATGTTTACTCCTGTTCGGTAAATTTCGAAAATCCGAAAATCAATAAAAAATGAACAAAATCATTAAAGTTCAATTTCAGTATCGTAAACTTTTTTTTTAACTTTTAAAGATTTTTCTTGTATGCACAGTGCACACTGCACTTTACCGGCTAATAACCCCCCTCCCTCTCTCTTCCTCCCAATATGACCCCTATCATAAAATATTGCATTTTAACCGAGAGGTCGGATATAATGAAACGCGAGAATAAAGTTGGTTGACACAACGAATAGTTAATCTGGTCAAACCTAGTTTAACTAATTCACATTACTCATTACTTCCAATCTGTGCAAGTGTTTAAATTGTATTGTAAAATGCTATCTTTTGTGGATTTTTTAACTATTCTTTAAAATCATATTTGATGCCCATGAATAAATAAATAAAAAATCTATTTGTCTAGTTAGTCAAAATCTGAAATTTTTACATAATTTTGAAATTACAGAGTCTTGTCGTATAATGATAGACAACTGTCAATGATTTTGGTAAAACGAGTTAATTGGGTGAATTACTACAATTACCCCCCTCCCCCTTGATACCACAAATCCCCCCACCTCTCATACCGCAAATTCCCCCACTTTCATACTTTTACACTACGCACTGATTGATTATATATCGTCTGATAAAACAAATAATTTTTACTTCTATTATTTTTCAATTAATTATCTATAATTTATCAAAATTATTTTTTTTGTCCCGCCATTTCTTTTCTTTAATTTTTCTGATAAATTTTTGATATTTCCCTAAGCTTTTATTATTTGTATTGGGACTGCAAAAGAATTAAAAGTGATCCTCCATTAATAAAGTGTCATGTTCAATGCCCATGATACCCTTAAAACCTGTGTCAAATCAGATGAATAAATATCCATCTTTTTCTATAGAAAGATTGGTTATTTTTAATTTTGCCCTCTTCGTAAAAGTAATAAGCATTTATGATGCAAAGACAAAGACGGAAATTTTAAAAATTAAAAAAAACGGCAATATTTTGTTCATTGATAGTGTGATACAGGTTTAAAGGGTACCATTTATAATCGTACATCCCAATCTTGAAATTAATGCTCATGCCATGCACTGGACATTACGTCTACAGTTCCTTTAACATTTGTTGCAAAATCTGGTAAACAGTTTGCACGTGCGAATGTTTTGACAAATGCTTATTTTTTATTGTTATGCCTTATTTCCGGGAAATTGGGCTAATCTTGGGAAAAGTATTTGTATTATCTCGTGCTTTGTAGTTGAATAAAAATATGATATGATATGAAATCTTAATATAAGAAAAATACAGAATAACATTCTTGCGAATTAAAATAATTCATTTTATGCATCTCATTTTTATTTTGCTTTTAATATAGTGCTTTCTGGTTTAATTAGGGGAAAGAGACAGGGGAGGGAAGGGGAAGGGGGGGGGGCAACACGTTTCACGTCAAACAAACGTAAATTGAACGTTAGTTTTTAATCATTAGTACAGCTACTGAAAGGAACAAAAATGTTTTAGTTTAGTATATTTGCTTTTCGCATAATTGTGCACGCAAAATAAAAACTAGAGAAGCTATGAGGTCACAACGTCGTAACAATAATGTCACTAAAATTTGAGTTGAGTGTATTTTGCAAAAGGCGGTTCCATGCTTAGTATTCAATGAAACACATATATCGCGAAACTACAAAAAGAATTAAAACTTGAAAATTTGATCGATCTGAAAACTGCAGAGAAAGACAAATTCAACCCTGGAGAGTGGAGAGGGGGGGAGCGGGAGCGGGAGGCGGAGAAGTTGTGGGGGGGAGTCTTTACCAAACAAGAAGAGTTACAAGTCAATTTTGAAGAGGGCAGTCAATGAATTACTAAACAGTTGTTTCTTAAAGGGACTGTCCTTGTAATTTCAGACGACTTCGTAGAGAGGGGCCATGTCCGATTCATATAAATACCCTTTAACCCGTTTTATGATTAATGATAAGATATCGTCGTTTAACTCACTTGAAAAGTGATAATTCTCACGATTTCCTTCTTTGTTTCCACAGCAAGAAATCCGCAAGTCACAATTATTTGAACAGACTTTATAGATTTATCATTCATTCATGATCAGACAAAGCTTTAAAGGTACAGTTGGGAATCTGACATGCCTCCCTGTAATAGAGAGTCACTTATTATGCAATAAAGCA